AGAGAGAGAGAGAGAGAGAGTGAGAGTTAATGAGTGCCTATGCCTTTATATATTTACCCTGCTGCAGCAAATTTCTCTTAGTGGAGATCGATAAATTATCTTATCTTTATTATCATCATCATCATCATCATCATCATCATCATCATCATCATTGCCGCATTGTCTGCAGCAATCGCAGGACTGAAAATAGCTCAAATCTAGGTTGAGTTAAATGTGTGAACATTTGTGTGTCAACAGTTTGTTTGTTTGTTTGTTCTGTGCAGGGAGTGACCGGACCCCAGGGACTGATTGGACCACCAGGCCAGCCTGGACCTGTTGTAAGTACATCAGTGTGTCTGTCAGTCTGACGTGTGTGTGTGGACTGTTGGCGGGTACTCTGGTGTGGTTTGCTACTTCTTTCCTATCAAACATCGATCGTCGTTATTTCTCCTCCTTCTTTTTTGTGTTTGTCACTCTCTTGTAAAACTTCCACTTCACAATTCCAGTGGTGGTAGTAACAAGTTATAAGAGATAAAAGGAGAAAAAAAGAAGTAAAGAGAAGTAAAAAAAGAGGTTTTAAAAAATATAAAAGAACAGATAAAAGTAAATAAAGAAGTACAAAAAATAATAAAAGAAGAGTTAAAAAAGGAGTTTAAAGAACATTTGATTTTTAAAATGTTCCTAGCAGAGTTTTTTTTTTTTAAGTATAAAAGATCAAGTAAACGTTTTTAGAAAGAGATACAAAAGAAGTGAGAGAAAAGGTAAAAAAGGAGTTTGAAAAATTGACTCAAAGTAGTCATGGCCTCTCAAAGTGACTTTGGCTAATGGTAAAAAAAGAATCATAGTTTCTCAAACTGACCTTGGTTAATGGTGGTGCTGGGCGGCTAGGTTCTCGATTATTGAAAGCTTAAAATCATAGGATGAGTCTCCGAACCCAATAACTTACTTTCTAATGATGTGATTTCTTCCGGTGGTTACTAGTTGGCTCCAAACATCTTCAGGATTTAGGATAACCTTGATTTCGGAACACTACGAAGCATCAACTTATATTTTTCAAATATAACTTTTTTTAAAAAGAAAAAGATTTTAATGGTTAAATTAACTGGTAACCTTTGGTTTACATAAAAAGGAGTCGGAACTTTACTTCCGTAGCATTCATCGTGGGAATCGGTTCCGGAATCAATTCTTCGCCCAGTTTTAGTTAATGGTACACAAACGAGTCATGACTGCTCGTACTGACTTTGGTTTTACAACGGTTTCTTTCTGTCCCCAGGGAGAGAAAAGGTAAAAAAAGAAGTATAAAATAACAGGTGAAAATTTTTAAAAAGTACAAAAGAAGTAAAAGAAGAGGTAAAAAAGGAGTGAAAATGAATTTTACATAAAGTAGTCGTGGCTTCCTGGCTTCTCACACTGACTTTATCTTATGGAACACAACTTACTGTGACTTATGGAACTGACTTTGACTTGACAACGGTTTGTTTCTGTCACCAGGGTGAGACTGGCGTGCCCGGACCCCCAGGAACTCCAGGAGGTCAAGGACCAGTGGTGAGTACAACTTTGGACGTGTGTTTGTGTGAGTGTGTGTGTGTGCGTGTGTGTGTGTGTGTGTGTG